GGGGGCAGGGTAGGGGTGGGGGTCAGGAACCCAGCTCTGGGCCTTGTTTGCCCCCTCCCCTTCTGGGCCCTGCGGGACATCCCTGGGGAGGATTGGCTCCCTATACAGGGACAGCAGGGGGAGAAGCCTTTGCAAAAACAAGAGCGAAGTCATCTGGGCAGAAAAACGGCTCGTGAAATTAACCAGACAAGGCCGGTGTTTCCAGGAATATTTCAGTTCTGAGGTAACTGTGTCACTGAAGGCTGGGGTGGGGGGGGGGTGGGGAAGCTGAAGGAGCTTCGGGATTGACCCACGGAGAGAACCAGAAAGAGGGAAGGAGCCTCAGAAATCCGGAGGGAGAAGAGGCCAGGAGAGGAGTAAGGTGACAGGGCTCTGCCCTCTATCAGGACAGCCTCCACTCTGGGCAAGATGTCCCATACCTTAGGCAGCAAAACTGAAAGCCGTCTGGGGCAGGGAACACCTGTGGTTTAGTCGTGAGCACTGGAACTGAGCACAGCTCGCCGCTTGCCTATGTTCCTAGGAGGGCAAGCCCAGTGGGCATCCTGGAGCCCTCACATCCATCCTCCTTTCCAGGCTCATGGTGTGCAGGTGGACCGGCCACCAGGGGCTGTGTCCTGGGCCCCCTCCCGGAGTCCTGGCCCCCTGCCCAGCCCCCGCCCCAGCTCTGCCTCTGGCTGCTGCCCACTGATTGTTTACATCCCGTCTTCCCCTGTGTTTATAAATCCAGCTGAGCACGTGAGGAGCTAATGAGAGCAGCTCACATTTCCTGCTGCGTCCCCCCCACCCCCCATCCTGGCCCCCACCCGGGCCAGCCCCTAATTCCATCCAGATCCCTGGGCCCTGGGAACCGAGGCCCCCCCTCATGAACACACACACACACACACACACACACACACACACACACACACACCACACACACACACAGCCCACGCAAGCGCATGGCCACCCTGACACCGCTACACAGGCAGGTATACCCGTATACGTGTGTTTAGGCAGCTGCCCCCTCAGCCTGTCTCCCCCAGTCTGACCTCACGCAGTGAAGGTAGGGTGCTCAGCAGTGCAAATACGCCAGGGTAGTCAGGTGGATAGGACAGGTCAGCCAGGAGACCATGCACCTGGGATTGGTGGCTAAGAGCCATCAGCCTAACAGGTAGGAGCCGGGGAGGCATCGCAGAGCTCCAGAGGTGTTGGGCTGAATGTGGGAGCCAGAGGAAAGGCCCCACCCTCAGGCCAGACCAGGACTGGCATCCTGGTGACCTTGGAGGGGTCTGTTGAGGTGCACTAAGGGGACGAGCGGTTTAGGGGGTGGTGGGTCCACTGTGGTGTGAGATCCAGGAAACGGCCCTGGGGGTCACCTCCCAGCCCCCCTTCTCAGGGAAGGGCCCAAAGACACAGCCCATCTTTCCTTGTCCTCTAGGCTGGCTGCCCTCCCCTCTGTTCCTTCCCTCCCTTCCATCCTCTCCTTGGTTCCCTATCCCCCAGGCAACTGAGAATCGGCTTAGTGAGTGGGTACACATGGGCCCAAAAGTGAGGAGACCTCACTTTGTCACCAGTCCATCAGGTGACTGGGCTTGTATGAAGGGGTTGCACTGTGCGTGTGAAATTCCAAACCACGTGATGCTCCACCTCTGCTGTGCTCATCAGCAGCCCCCTCCCTGCCCTTCTCATCCAGCCTAAATGACAGAAGAAGAAACTGAGGCCCAGGGAAAGAAACAGATGGGCGGGCCAGCCTTCCAGCCTTGTGGAGCCCATTCCCACCCAGGAGTTGGGCTTTTGTAGGAGCAAGAGGGTCCGGATGGTGCTGCAAGAGGACCCTGGGTGGAGCCGGGGAGCTGGGCAGCCAGCAGAAGGCGGGCACAGGGGCAACATGAAGGAAATAGTCCGGCAATTGTGTGGGTATGCTGGAAAAGGTGTTGTTATCCAGCTGGTATGGCGTGCAGGAGCCAGGGTGTGAATAGGCAGGTGGGATTGTGAGGAGGAATGTGAAGTGTCACTAATGGAGTAGCTGGTGCAGACGGGTGGTGTGCAGAAGTGTGAACGGGCCCAGAGCAGGGCTCTGCCAGGGGGAGAGGGAGCCATTACATCAGTTGGGAGAAGAGACTTCTGGGGCGGCTGGGTGACAGTTGCTGCCACCTCTGCCTGATGCCCGTTTCCTCCCCTGGTTGAGTGCCTGGCTCCAGGGCATCGAGGGTGTCTGAGCCAGTGGGCGGAATAGGTCTGATCTGTCAGGGGGATGTATCCCTGTGTCCTACGGGGTGGGGGGAACAGTTGTGCGATCCTGGAGCCGGGAGGGGGTCCGTGGGGACAGTGAAAGCTCAGAGGTGTCGGCCTGTATGGGTCAGGGTCAGAGAGCGCCTGACAGAGGAGTGGGTCCAGTGCCTGCACCCACAGCCTCTCTCCGAGGCTCGGGCCGCTCCTGCCGAGCCATGCCTCCAGCCCCCTCCCCTCCTAGCAGCCCCCTCCTACCCCAGGGGGGAGGGC